TCATTGACACTCAATTCAACTCAAACCACTACAGTTTGTTGTAGGTAATAGCAATCGATCGATGATGTTGCACATGCAACAAAATGTTGTACGAATGATTTGCCAACTATATTTTTACAATAGAAACAACATCGGTATTTAGTTTTTATTTGCGCAGTGCGCAGTTTGCAGTTGGTGTTGTGGTTGTTGTGTTATCTCTTAGCGCAATCGACATGCTGCGTGTTTTGGCATCTGCTAGATAAACGTGATAATAAGATTGATAACAGTTTAATTGAATTTTGCCATTTTCACATATTTATTTATTTTTTTTCGAACAAAGATTTCCTTGTTTGTGTAATTGAATAGATTGGGTCGACTGTCGGCAGCGTTGAAATTTGCCATAAAATGTTTGATTGTTTGTATTTTTGTACAAATTATTTATATTTGATTGAAATGTTTTCCACTCTGTTGCAACGCCTTGTGCATGCATGAAAACTTTCGATTAATTTCTTTATGTATTTTTTTTTTTTTTTTTTTNTTTTTTTTTTTTTTTGAGAAAATCAGTAAGGTGAAATTGTACTCATCATCACGCCCGGCTTGCTTAATTAAGTCAAGGTTTATTTGTGCGCATTTGTTCCAATTGGCCTGGTATGTCTAGCGTTTCACATTACTCGCCGATGTTGCTCGGATTGCAACACGATGTTTCTGTGGCGCGCGCTTAGCATCGCTTGGTTGTTGCGCTGTGCTGCACATTTTTTGCTATTTTTTCCATGCAGTATTCAATATTAAGTTTCTATATACACATGTCTTTCTATCTATATTAAAATTTTTCTCTATTTTACATCAACTTTTCATTGTCTTTTCCTTTGTGTTTTTTTGTATTCTCTTTCATGCTTGCTGATTTTGCTTCGTGTACATATGTAGAAAATACTTTTTTCTTTACACTTTATATAATGTTTCTTAATGTTTCAAGCTTTATGTTACTACTGCACCTTTTGTTTTAATATATTATATGTAATGTGAACGCTTAGCTTGCGGAAGAATGCTGTGAGGAAAACATTTCTAATTTACGCAGGTAGTGGAGTTAGTTTCAAAAATCCAAAAAAAAAGAGGTGTCATTGGCTACGTCAATAAGCAAAACTGTCGCAACTAGGACTCAGAAAGCCCGGGATTTATTTTTATTGAAAATCCTCTCCATCCTCAACGTGTAACTGTTTAATTCGGCTTATTGTTCCATGGCTAATTTTCGAAAATGAGTCTAGAGCAATTACGGTGAATGCATTGCCATATCGAGAGATGATTACCGAGACCATTGATCTTTTAAGAAAAAATTAATATCAAAACGTGTTATTGTTTATTGGAAAAAATAAAATTTAAAACAAAAATTTGTGAAAATTATTAAGTATATGTAATATACGAGTATATATATATATAAAATAAATTTAAAAACATAAGCTAATGCCATGTTCAATGATTGTAGAAAGTATGAAATCGCTGATGTAGGAACTTTACATTGTCAAAGTCGCCCTGAAGTATTCTGCTCATTTCATTTAAGGGGTTATTTCCACTTTGAGAACATTTTACGAAATATTGAAGTTGATCCGGCAAACTGTCTTGGAGATATGATCGTATCATTAAGGACGTTTCGTGGCGTTCGCAAAACTTAAAATGCGTTTTTCTCGACACCACTTTGAAGTGTAAAATATCTCGAAAAAATTATTAAAAGGTGTTATAACTTTCCGCCGTTTTCCGGCTGAGGCTGTTTGAAATACATAGATGATAATGCCTTTAAAGTAAGTGTGGACAGTGTCTAACGAATTGTCATCGCCGTTTCAGTGACAGTTGTTCTTGTTTTCGTACTATTCACGTTCGAAAATATCCGTTTTTGTGCCTAATTCTTTTACAATTCGAAAAAAATGCAGCAGAACCGCATGGAATGCTCTCAGAAACTTACGGTGATGCTGCTCTGAGTGAAAGAACGTGTCGGGAGTGGTTTTAACGTTACAAAAAATTTTAAAGATGTGGAAGACAAACATGGTGGTGGAAGAGAAAAAACCTTCTAAGATGAACAGCTAGAAGCATTGCTTGATGAAGATTCGTGCCAAACCTAAGAACAGCTTGCCGAATCGTTGGGAGTGAGTCAGCAAGCCATTTCAAAACGTCTCAAGGCCCTGGGCCTGAAAAGAAAAGCGGCCACAATATCCAGAGCGACATGACAAAGTCATCCTCCAACAGGACAATGGTCGGCCTCACGTCGCAAAAATGGTCAAAAAGTATCTGGAAGCGCTGAAATGGTAAGTCTTGCCCCACCCGCCNGAGAAAACATTAACTTTTTTGCTAGTGAATATAACTCCTTAATTGAGAAAAGAACTGTTTCTGCCGTAAATAATTTCAAAATTTCCCGAACTATGAATTTAACTTATTTTTCCTTTAAAATTAAACATAAGCGCCGGAATAAAAATTTACTCTTTTTTCTCAATTTTATTTGATATTTTTCAATTTATATTGATTGTGATAAAACTATTACGTCAACTATGAAAACAACTTATTAAAAGCACTATTTTTTTTATTAATAAGAAAATATGAATGGAGTGAATCATAAATGATGTGAAAATTTAAAAAGTAAATAGGAAGACCTTTTTATAATGTTCGATAATTAAAATATAGGTAACAATTACTTCAACTAATACCAAGCGACTCAAGCAAAAATATGTTTTGGGAAAAATATTTAAAGATTTATTTAAAATTAAAGTATTATTATTATTTTAATTATGCATCATTTTCAATAATAATAACTCATAGTATATGTACATACTTATTAAAGAATCGCTCTTTCATTAAAAAAATATTTCATACTTATGTATATATACACTCACTACGAGTTATCAGCTGACGTCATTGCAATGCCAAGCGGGAGCTAATTAGCCGCTCATATTTTATATGTATATAGCATAAATGGACAGAAGATAGAGAAGGAGAGCGAGTTCGAAGGGTAATGAAATATAGAAATATAACTTCACCATAATAAACATTAATAAATGCGAACGTTGCCAAAGCTCTCAATAACATCTTAGTCACCACATAGATACATATGTATGTGTATATATTTAAATGAGATAAGATAACCAAATGAACAACAGTTTAGGTGCTAAATTAATAATTGGTTGCAATTGTTAGATACACTTACTCCCTAACATAGAAAAAATTTGCGGTGTACTAATAAAATAAAAACGTTTAATGCAATTGATAATTGATAATTGAAAAAGCAAAGAAAGTTCTAAATTATTTTCTGTTTTATTGAAGCAAAACGAGGCGAAGTACGCCCGTAATTTCATAAACGTGAGAGTTAGTTGGCTGCCAATTAATGTTAAAATTTGACAAAACGGTAAAAATTTTTTTGTTAGAAACAGAAATAATTCAGTGTCATTAATTTTTCACCCTGCATTTTAGTACAGTGCGATCATACGAGTAAACCGCTGACAATTCACAAGCAACCAAATTTATTTTAAGTAAATAGTTATAAAACAATATAAAAGTAAAATATTGTGTTTCACCACAGTGGGTAAATATGTGTGTGTTTTCGGTTGCGCATTAATTATATACTGCACATTTATTTATGTCTTGATGTTTTAAAATATTTTAGATAATTTTATTTTGTATTATGTTATTTGTTTTATACTATTTAAAATGATTTTTTATAGGTACTCTACTTTATTTAATTTTTTTTTTGTAATTGTCTTTCAACGAATTAAAGTTATAACATTTCAAGATTTTATCTTTTTTTAATTAAATTTAATTTAAATTCATCTTCATTAAGTTTATTTTATTTTGCACTATTTTATCTTATTTAATTTATTTTATTGTATTTCATTTAATTTAAATTTTTTTATTTTATTTGATTCTACTTTGTCCCATTTTATTTTAATTGCTTTTTTTTATAAAATGGAACCTCATTGTATTATTTATTATTTAAATTAATTTAATGTAATTTAAGTTAAATTTCTTTATTGTTATTTTATGTTATTATATTTAATTAATTTAATTTAACTGCATTTATTTAATTTTATTGCATTTTATTTTTTTCTAAACTATTTTATTAGTTTTCACTTTTTTTCGCTTTGGGATTAATTGGGGACCGGAATTCCCCTTGAACTGGGCAGGTGCCGGTCCTATAGAAAAGTACAAAAGAAAAAAAAACAGTATTTTGCTAAATTCTCGAATTATAAAAAAACCGAGTCTTTCAAATTTAAATTAATTCAATTAAATTTATTGCTGCCGCTGCTTGTGAATGAAAGCGACGTAGTAAGGATTGAGGATTTCCACAGAAGGGGCACTTATCATAAATTTCAAGACTCACGCAAGCAAGTAAATCAGCAGTGCCCCTGCAAATGTTCTCTTCTGATGAAAGTTATGGCCGCTGCCAGGGGTGCATGCATAACAATTTTATTTGCTCTACTTTTTTAAATTAATGAAATTTAATTTTGGTTTGTTTCATTTATTTTTTTATTTTATTCCATTTAATTTTTTTAACTTAATTTTATTTTACATTATTTAAATAATTATAATTATAATTTTATTTTACTTTATTTTTTAATTTTTTTTTCTCTGCATGTTAATATATTGTATTTTACTTCTGTTTTTTCATTTCAGTTTCATTTTATATAATTTATTTTAATTGATGTTATTAAATTAATATTGCATTATTTAATTTAGTTTTATTTTTTTGATTTTATTATATTTTATTTTATTTTATTTTTTATCTTATTGCACTTTAATTTATTTTGCATTACTTTAATTTATTTCATTTTATATTAGTTAATATCATTTAATTTTTGCTATGTTATTTCGTTTTATTTTAACGCATTTCACTTATGAAAAAAGTGTAGCTTTTTATTAAAGTTTTTGTATATTTTGTTATTCTTTTCTGTTCTTTTATTTTTACCTTTTTATGTAATTTTGTTTCATATTATTTTTTCTACATTTCAAATCTAACCACCTTCATCCCTTTCTCTTCTTTACAGATTCTGCTCATATTTGTGTGTTTTAGTGCACTTCTCTTCCACAAGTACTGCATTTAAGTAATTGTATTTTCTCGCACTGAGTTTGTTTTCGAAAAAAGTGGAAAAGAAGTAAAAAATCAATTCACTTTTGTATATGGCACAATAAAAGCGTTTGTGTTTGTGTTTAAATAAAGAAATTAAGTGCAACTAGTGCTCGATTGCAACATTCAGCATTTGGCGGCGTCAAGCCGAGTTTGGACATCAGCAACAGCAAAAACAACTTCTCAATTTAGGTAAGTTAAGTTTAATTTTTTTTTTACTTTTATAAATTTCTTAATGATTTCTCTTTTAAAATGGCTTGTTGATGTTAAGGAAAAAATTCCCATTTTCAATTACCCGCTGTGTTGTTGCATTTTGGCACAGGTGAAAGGCTCGCTGCGCCACGCGGGTGGTAGCATTAAGCCGATTGAATATCTTAAAAGCGAACTTTATTAGCAAACAATGGCAGCCTAATTAGCGAGAAATAATGCAATTAGTGTTTGTGAGAAATTTTCAATGCAGATGAGCAACCGTGCATATGTGATCTTTGTGTAAATATGTATAAAGATATGTAGGTATATGATTATGTCCTACTTTAAGTACTTTAAAAAATAAAAAATAAAGTTTAATGATAAAAACAATGCAACGCTCATTTATATTTTTTTGTGTACCGTGAAGAAAGCAGTTTTTATTTATTTTTAAGCAATTTTTTTTAATTTGTATTAGCTAGTTGGATTTGGATAGCTTTCGCATTATAAATACATGCAATAATCTGAATGTATGTGAAATCCGCTGACACAATAAAATAGTCAAAAATAAACATATGACGTATGCTTCAAAATATGATATCATTGCCGGAGTAATCGAAAAGCCGCTAATTTGAGTATCGTTAGAGAGGAAGAGAGTGTTCGAGTTATTCTAATGATCGTGATAAACAAGTTTTTTATATACAGATATACAACAGCGCGTTTTGGCATAACCCTAAAGATCTTTTAATTACCGTTGAGTGAGCTAAAAATAGAGTTATTGCGTATAATCCAAACAATTAAGGTTTCTTGTTTGTGAATAACTAAAAAATTTATAAGGTTTAACCTTCGCAATTAAGTAAAAAAATTAACAACTATGTTTCGTATTTTCAATATCTCTCCACCTCTATTTTAAACAAAATTATATTAATTTCATCTTATCGTCTTATATATCTCCATATATTTAAATAAATTAATTTATATTGTTAAATTTATTATGTTTTCGTTAGTTTTGCTATTTATCACAACTTTTGTTAATTAAAAATTTACATATTACAAATTCCAAAATTAAAGGTGAACACACACACACTCACAAGCGCAACACGAATGGTGATTTTTTTTTAAATCTTTCGGCACTAACTTTATTAGTTTCAACGCTTCTATTCGCTGGTATGATGTAATCAGATATCAATAGGCAATAACCTCGTATCGCTTCCTATTAAGAAGCTGAATATTGAATAAATTACTATGTATATATATATAAAGGGTGATTATCTAAGAGCTATAGAAAAGAATTTCAAAAGAAAAAAAAACGCTTTAAATTCAGAGAAATGCATGTAATCTATATTTAACACGGTCCATATAATTTAATGTTTGAAGATTATTTCATTCAAATGTTGACCGTGACTGCGCCTGAAATTGTCTATCCGCTTAGTCCAATTTTGGCCTACTCTTCCAACATTTCGGCGGGTATATCACGAATGAATGTTTCAATGTTGTCCTCCAATACGTTAATTAAAGCGGGCTTGTCTGTATAGACATCATGTGTAATATAGCCCCACATAACATAGTTTAAAGCGTTAAATCACACGATCTGGGCGGGCAATTGAACGGCCCCGAACATGAAATGAAAATCTTCACCGAACTCACCTCTCAATAAGTCCATTGTTACGCGCGCTGTGTGTCATGTGGCACCGTCTTGTTGAAACCACATTTCATGCAAGCCAAGCTAATGCTATTTGGGCAAAAACTATGATTTCATCTCACGTTAGCGCTCACCATTTGCAGTTACGTTACGAATCGCATCGCCTTTGTAGAAGTACGGTGATGCAACCAGCCCAAAAACCGCACCAAACAGTGATTCTTTCTGCGTGCATTGGTAGCTCTTGCAATGCTTCTGGCTGATCTTCACTCAAAAATCGACAATTCTGCTTATTTACGCACCGATTATAAGCGTTGTTCGTTTAGAAGACAATTCATGGTGCACTTATAGACCAAACTGAAGATGTTTGACAGTGATGAAAAACACAAAACGTGCGTCAGCTGTTTAAACCAGTGTTGCCAAAAAAATAATAGCTAAAAAATCACCTTTTATATATAGATACACAATATATTTGTATGCGTGTAACAATGTAATAATTCAATAACCCTGCCGGTGATAAATTAAGATTTATGTACACTTAAATCTATTTTATATTAAGCGCAACCCTGAGGCCTTCTTAATTAACTGCAGCCAATCAATTATTGATTTTTTTATCGATGCTATTGATTGATAGACAACGAAATACAACAAGTACAAGTGTAGACTAAGGTATGCAAATTTTATTACAATAATAAATATTAAATATTCAAATTTTTCCAAACTATTGGAAGGGCATGAAATGATAATAATAAATTAAAATAATAAATATACGAAAAATATTTATCTCAGAGAAAAATGTATAGCTATCAACTTTATGTAATCTCAAAATATATTCTAAGTTAAAAAAAAATTGAGTAAATAGTTTCTATCTAAATGTAGAAAAGAGAGATTAAAAACATATTTCAAAATTAAGTCAAAAATTTATAGTTTAGCTGAAGTCAAATGCAAAGTCAAAGTCACATCCATTGTCATAGTCAACAAAGTCAGGTTCTCTATAAAAGTCACAAAAAGATCCTAAGGCAAATTCATAACAAAAGTCAGAGTCAGAGTCAAATTCAGAGTCTCCATAAGGTTCATAGTCAGGATCAGAGTCAGAGCCAGGGTCAGAGTTAAGTCAAATGTCAGAGGAGTCTGAGTCATATTCACAGTAAAAGTTAGGCTCACTGTCGGTATCAGGGATATAATTAAGGATGACTTCGTGTCAGATTCTGAAACAGAGTCACATTTAAATTCAAAGTGAGTCAGAATTGGAATTAGATATTTACGAGACAACAAATGAAAAATGGAAAAAGTCTAACATTCACTAAGTTTAGACTTCATACAAATGAATGAGTGTGTATAATGCAATAAATTCTCATTTTTATTTATGTGTTGTTGATGCAGCATTAATCTAAAAATCTGCTACCAGGCAATATTTTGTCATCCAATACCAATATGCATTTTCCCATTAATTGGTTTGACTTGACACAAAACATTACTGCATATGAGTGCATATCTTCCAGTTACGTAGATACAAAACGTCTGTATGTAGTTATGCTTGTACGAGTGTGTCACAGATGGGCGATAAAAGTGCGCAGACAAATTAAAAATGAAAATTCTTGTTATCGCAAACAACAGATCCACATTTTTATTTAATAATATTTTTGCCTTAGCTTTTTTGTTGCTGTTTTAAATAGAAAAAATTTCATATATATATATATATATATATATACATATACTCATAAAAGGCGCAACAAATTCTTGTTTTGGTTTTGCTATCAAAAAGAATCATGCGGTTGTGGCAAGTTTGCGGCGTGTAAGTTGTTTAACACCATCAAGACCTGCCTTCCACCTCACATCTATTGTTGTTGCTTTAAACTCGTTTGACATATATGAGAATTTATTTATTAATTCGACAAATCGGTATGCGGAACTGGAATGTTGTTGTCGCCTGACTGCTCTGGCTCCATCACATCGCGCAGCCAGAGTTGTTTAGTGTTCCTGCCGCTGCTGCTGTAAATGGTTGCTGGTGTAACAAGTTGCCAACAAGTGAAACAGCAACCATAGTAACAGGATTGAATACTGAAAATAAAAGTAACAAATAGAAATTAATAAATTTGCGAATTTTCAGCAAATGTTGCGGCAACACTCAGTTGCTGTCGTTGCCGTGTTGCTGCTACTGCTGCGTCTGCATGTAGCTGCAATTTGCACATCCATGTTCTGGCATATGTTACTCGCTGTGTCCGCCAATCAATGATGGCAATAAATTTCCAAACACCTTGCTCACTCTATGCCGCCTTAGGTGAACAAAGAAGCAATGGCAGTGGCAGGGAGAGACTCGGCGATAGCTGATCGGTGATAAAATAAAACAATTAAAAAAAATTAGAGAAATAAATGGAACAAAAAAAAAGTAAAAAAATAAAAATAATAAATAAAAAGAAAAAAATGACATACAATAAATTAAAATAAAAAAGTGAAAAACATCAAATCAATTTTACTATTCTTGAAATGTGCAAAACCAGCAATTTCAATTGCCACCGAAGTTAAAAATATTTTGATGTTTTTGGCTGACATTTAAACATTATTTCTCATTTATTTGATCATAATTCTTCTTTTTGCACCAGTTGTCATTGCCCACTTTATGGGTGGGTAACAACAGAGCAAATTTCAAACCGAAGCTGGCTTCGAGTCTCAAACCGAAACGCGCTATCATCTACTGCTTCGCCCCTACTTTTACAACGTCTCTGTTTTATCGATTTGGCTCTGGTTCAAGGTCAATAGGAGTTGGAGCGAAAATATTACTAGAGATATATCTAACTGACTCTTAACCTGCACTGTAATCTGTACAATGCTGACTTTATTTATTATTTATATTTCTCAATTTTTATTTGATATTTAAAGCATGCATAACCTCTTTTAAGTTTTCTTGACGGCCTTCGTGGGACCGGGCTGGGTCTAGTAGAGCAGCAAGAGAAATATATGGGCTTAAACAATGAAGTGATTTTATATCAGTGTATCTATAGTTATTGCATTCACTAGCTGACAAGAGTATTATAGTTGGAGTTATTTTTTTTAAATAAAACCAAAAACATATTAACCCTGACCAGGAGAAAAATGAATCCAAATTCGATAACAAAAAAGCTTTAATAAAAGACTTTTATGCACAAGTATTTTTATTAGTAATATATATGATTTCATTTTGTGGAGAACATCGTTTTCAAAACCTAGGCTTCCTAATTAAGGACAAAAACAGCAAAACTAATAACATTGATAACCTCCTATTCTGCAAATGGATATGAAAAATCATAGAATCAAAAAAAAGAAACAAAATTGCCAATACTGAAAGATAACAAAAGTAGACACCATGAAAAGTCAAACGAAACTATGA